GCTCGGCACATTTAGTTACTAGTGCCCGCTCGGCACGTGCCCGCTCGGCACATTTAGTTACTAGTGCCCGCTCGGCACTGTGCCTGCTCGGCACGTGCCCGCTCGGCACATTTAGTTACTAGTGCCCGCTCGGCACTGCCTAGGTGCCCGCTCGGCACCGCCCTGCCTCGGAGTTCTCCAGCTCCAGGATGAACCTACGTACGGCAGCCTGACAGGAAAAAAACAGGGGGGAGGGGCACGGGGTTGAGCCACATGCACATGTCATGCGAAAAGACGTGCAACATGCAACACCGTGCGAAAAAACGTGCAAAAACCATGCAAAATCATGCCATGCAAAATCATGTCATGCAAAATCATGTCATGCAAAATCATGTCATGCAAAATCATGTCATGCAAAACCATGTCAAAATGCAAAAAACAAGCTGTTCCACATGCAAAAACCATGCAAAAACCATGCAAAATGCGGCGCGTACGGAGCGCCAACCCGCTGAACCTCCACTCTCCCCGGGTTCCTTGCTATATGTGCTATATGTGCTATATCTCACAAGGCAAGCCACTGAACATCCACTCTCCCCGGGTTCCATGCTATATGTGCTATATGTGCTATATCTCACAAGGCAAGCCACTGAACATCCACTCTCCCCGGGTTCCATGCTATATGTACTATATGTGCTATATGGCCCTATATAGCACATATACCACAGATTTCGCGCGTACAGAACATATAGCACATATAGTACATATAGCAAGGAGCTGGGGGAGAGTGGGGGTTCAGCGGCTTGGCGTGTAAGATATAGCACATATAGCATATAGCAAGGACGCGGGGGAGAGTGGAGGTTCCGCGGCTTGGCGTGTAAGATATAGCACATATAGTACATATAGCAAGGACGCGGGGGAGAGTGGAGGTTCAGCGGCTTGGCGTGTAAGATATAGCACATATAGCACATATAGCAAGGACGCGGGGGAGAGTGGGGGTTCAGCGGCTTGGCGCGGCTTCAATGCCGGGCAGGTGGCGCGGCCAGGAGGCTTCTGTGCCAGGCAAGTGGCGCGCAATTTTGTTGCAATATTGCGGCAACAAGAGTCAGCCATGGAGCAATTTTGAATCAAATCGTGGGGGGAAGTTCAATGCAGGGAATCCCTGCATTCCCCGTATCTCTCTCTTTAGAGGGGGTTTTCCCAAATGGAGTTCTAGCACTCGTCCGTCCAGCATTTGACCTCGTCCTGCGAAGGATTCGAAGTCTAAAACGCTGCGTGCAGGCGTGTGGCTGCAAAATAGAGACCCCTAGATATGCGCTGCAATTTGGCTCCAGGTTGCATTTCAAGCGATGTCAAGCTTTGCCAAAGGAAACCCCTTTTCCCTTTTTTTCGGGGACCCCTTTTTTTGGACCCCTTTTTTTCTTTTTTTTTGTTTTTCTTAGCCCTGCAAAGGTTGGCTCGCTTGAAATGCAACCTGGAGCCAAATTGCAAGCATATCTAGGGGTCTCTATTTTGCAGCCACACGCCTGCACGCAGCGTTTTAGACTTCGAATCCTTCGCAGGACGAGGTCAAATGCTGGACGGACGAGTGCTAGAAGCCTCTCAGGTAGAATATAAGCCATTTGGAAAACCCCCTCTACAGAGAGAGCCTTGCCCGTCAAATTCTTCCACTTTGTTCCTGCGAAGTCGTTTGAGGCGAAGCCCAGCGGTCCCCGTTCATGTCCGGGCGCTTGTGCTGCTTGGCCTCCACGGAGTCAAGAGCTGCTGGAGCTCTGCCACGTCGGCCTCGGCCATCTCCGTCTTCACCCAGCTGTCCGACAAATTCGTAAGCTCGTGTTGCAGACCACGTTGCCCGTGTTGCCCGCAATCACGAGGCAGCCGGGGTTCCTCTGGTTCGTGGTCAGGGACAGCTGCGTGAGAGGCTCTTGGTCTGCACCAGCGCGTCGTCGTTAATCATGATGAGCTCGCACTGGTGGCCCCGCCGTCCCGCTCCAGGAAGACCCTGGCGCTCTGGTTGCCCAGCAGCCGCAGCTCCGGGCCGCTGTCGGGGGCCGCGCTGTTGTTGGACACTTGCAGCTTGCTCCAGCCCGCCCAGTTCTTCGTCAAGAAGAGATCGTCCGAGAAGTCGGAGGTGTTGGTCACGGTGAGCGTGTTGGACGCGAAGAGCTGCGGCGCGGAGACCGTGCCCGAGCTCGTCACGTCGCCGCAGACCACGCTGCCCGTCGACACTCCGCCGCTCGTGGCCGTGAAGGTGCAGTCCAGGCTCTCGCAGTCCAGCGGGCCCGTGGAGGCCGCGGTGATGGTCAGCGTGGCGCCCGTGAGCGCACCGGTGGCTGCGAAGCTCGCGCGGTTGCTGCGCCCGAGGCCGTCAGTGTCCCCGTGGACACGTCGCCCACCGTGGTGAAGTTCCCGGCGTTGGCCGTGTTGTTGATGGTGAGTGTGCTGCCCGTGATTCCTGTGGCGGAGCTCAGTGGACGTCAGCGTGGCCCCGGCGACGGTGCCTGTGGCTGTGAGCGCTGCGCAGGAGACTGCGCCCGAGGCGTCCACGCCCGTCGTGAAACGTCGGTGCAGTTCACGTCGTTGCACAGCAGCTGGTCGCAGCCCACGTTGCCCTGCGCGGTGAGCCCGTCCAGCGTGGCCGAGCCCGTGAGGGCCAGCGAGTCCGCCAGCAGGTCCGTTACTGAGACAGACTCTCCCTCGAAGGCGCTGGCCCTGATCTGCATGCTGTACAGGTCCAGCGTGCCCGCCGACTGCTGCACCAGCCCGGGGATAGACCCGCCGAAGGCTCCGAAGTGCAGCTTCGCGATTCCGCCCGGCGGCACCGAGAAGTCCAGGCGCGCCGTGCTCCAGACGCCCTGCGAGGGCGTGCCGAGGAAGGTGCCGGTGACGCCCACGTAGTCGTTGTCGGCCGCGCTGACGTACATCACCAAGTTGGAGGCCGTGCCCAGCCTGTACCGGCAGCCGAAGGAGTAGCGTCTCCCCGGCGTCAGCGTGTAGGTGCGCACGATGTTCCAGGCGAAGGCGCTCAGGGTCATGGCGTAGCCCTCCAGCTGGAAGCCTCCCACAGTGAAGCTGGCCGAGGCCACGGAGCTCTGGCTGTTGGAGCGCACCAAAAAATTTCCTAATGTGGTGAGCGTGGGCTCCGGGTGGCCAGCGTGACGTCGTCGGCCCCTCCGTCGAGGAACTCGTGCTTCTGCGCCGGTGTAGTAGGCCAGCAAGGCTGCTGTTATAGCAGCGTCAGTGCCCGCCCAAGTACGAGATCCAGCTGACGGGCTCCTCGGGGTTGTAGTCCTCCTCGCCCAGCTTGGGGTTGTTGGCGTGAGCGAAGGCTGGAAGATGCAGCTCAGCCCTCCCATGACAGAGGCCCGCACGTCCTTGTAGGCCTGCTCGTGATGAGGTGAATGGGAGTCTCGCGGGCCGAGCGCCGCAGCATGGCGTCCCAGGCGGCTCCGGGCAGCGTGACGTAGTGGATCGGGTCGAGCCCCGACTGCGCCCGGAAGGAGTCCCGGTAGCTCTCCATCACGTCCGCCAGGGCCAGGACGTCGGTGTGGAGGTAGCAGCCGTGGAACTCGCGGAAGGTCTCCCGCCCCATAACGTTGGCGGTGTTGACGGCCAGCCGGTGGTCCTCTGCGCTCACCGCTTTTCCAGCCAGCGCGCTGTCGTAGCAGTGCTGCTCCCACACCGCAGGCATCTCCCACGCCTCGGCGCCGCAGAAGTGCTCGAAGGGCATGGGCAGCTTGCGCAGGATGCAGTCCCACGCCTGCTCCAGGTCGCAGTGCGTCCGCCACTGTTTGGGAGGCCGTCTTTGAGGCGGAGAGTCGGTCGGCGTCAGCTGCAGCTCGGGGTGAAGCGAGGCCATCAGCGGGAAGAGCTCTTCGCGCGGCGCCCTGCAGACAGGAGAGCCCATCGTGGCGATGTAGCGCAGCAGGAAGTGGAAGTCGTAGCCGCCCCCGTTGTGAAAGACCACTGGGATGGTTTTGGGCGTGTGGGCCGCGATGTTGCAGCCAAAGAGTCTGCAGGCCTCTACTCGCGGCAGAAGCTTCAGCCGTAGATGAAGGTGCAGATCGCGGTGCCTACGCAAACATGTGGCTGTCAGAGGCTCGCTACAACATGCCGGCGCACCGCGTGGGCCAGAGACTTCCCTCCAAGCAGGTGACCGACGTTAAGAGCTTGTACGACGCGGTCATCGCCGAGAATCCAGGCAGACTGACCGCCGGTCGCTTGTGAACAGTAGGGCAATTCAGGAGTAAGTCAAGCCGGAGCAAATGCACTGGATTCCAACCACAATCATGTGGGCGGACGGTTTGACGAAGTTCGACCCCAAGCTCCGTGAGACTCTCATGCACTGGCTTCAACAGCCAACCTGTCAGTTGACCAGCTGCGAAGCGGCAAAGGTCAAAATAATTTAGACCAGTGTGAATTGTGCACTGAGCCCGGCTTGACCTTTGCACATGTGAATCGCATTGCCCTTTGTGCATCGGCGCTCACAAGGGGGCCGGCTTGAGCATCATTTGCCTTTGCATCTGCATGCGCGCCTGCGGCCACACGCATCCTCTCCAAGGAGGGCGACTTTGCCTTCAACGGTGAGAAAAGCCGCCAGCGCCGACCACACGTAGCAGCGAGTGTGCGTCGACAGTTTGCCATCGCATGCTTCAGATTGGCAGGTCCCTTGTTGGTGACAGTTGAATATATTGTTGAATGAATGTTTGGAGCAAAAGGAGGACATTCTGCGGAACTTAGAATATCTTTGGCATTTCTTTGTCCCAGCTCATCCATGACAGCACTTGAGCGAGTGTGTTTCTTTTTTGGCGGTCGTTTTCCCAAAGCCATGAAAAGAGCTTGGGTGGGCTCGTATTGCTCACAGTACATCAGAAAATAGGCCTCGGACACGTTTGGATGCAATCAAGCATGTGTATCAGCAGGCCATTTCAGTTTTGTTTGCAACCCAGCAAAACGAACATTCTCATGTGGATGCAGACGTACTACTCGCAACAGTCAAGGATTGACACATCAAACTTTGAGCCGCTGAAAGGGCACAATGGAAGCCTGTGGGTATACGCATGTGCAGCTCTTGTGGGAGCGGCACGCGCCAGCTTGCGCCTTGTTATGCAGTTTTTGCCGAGATGTGCTGATCGACGTGTAAAGGAATGCTGGCGGTGGAGGTGCTTTTCCCGACATCGCCCAATTGGCCGCTTGTCCACGTCTACAAACTGCATAAGGGCATGTGCAACAAAATCCTTTGTCCTTGACAGACATAAAGCTGCCTTGTAGTTGTTTTGGTTTGTATTGCTGGGCTCATAGAATGTGTGCATTGACAACAAGCGAGTGGGCCTTTGTGATGGTTCAGGTATTCATCTCATGTTGCCGACGTACTGTCAGATGGAACGGTTGCTGTTGCAACCAATCAGGCGCTTGCATGGGATTTTGGCATGACAGCATTCATGACAGAGCAGCGTCTCGCGCAGGCTGTGACGTTTTTTGCGGCCACTTCACGTCAAGTGAGCAGCATTTTGCCACTGCGCAGCCGGGTGCGCTTGCGTTTGGCACATGCCGGAGAGCATGAAGCAGAGTCAGCTCGATTTGTTTCCATCAAACATGTCTTTTCCCTGGGCAGGTGACTGGCGTGGCCCTCGCAGATGGAGTGGTTGCTGCTTGCTGCACAGGCAAGGGTTGCTTAGTGCGGCTCGTGTTTCCATCAGAGCCCCACTGACTTGCAGAGCCCCTGACATCCCGAAACATCAGAGCCCCCTACTCTCTCGGAAATTTTTGGAACGGCTGCGGTTGGGCTCGCCTGTATGAGTCATGGTGCTGTGCCAGACCGTGTCGTGCATTCTTATCGTCTGGAATTACTGGAGAACTTGGGGTTCCACAAGGACGGGCCGCGCTTTTCACGCAGCACATGTCGTGTTGCAGACTACAGGAGCATCATGCAGAGCCAAGCGCGTTGATCATTGTGAAAGGGTGGGCGGCTTGAATTCAGATTTGTTCTTCCCGTGGGACCTGTTGCCATGATCTTGTCCGAGGTCAGTCATCTCTGGCGACAAGCGCGGAGTTTGCCTGTTTGCCCACTTGCGTTTGTGTGTGTGTGTGTGTGTGCGAGAGGGGCAAAGCAGGCCTTCTATGTCACTACGTTGGGCTGCTACCAACATGGAAAGCATCCAACCGAGTCAAACTGATGCATGGGTGGCATGGCTACGGATTCCAAGTTGGCCACAGTCAAACCAGACTAATGCTCCATGAGTTGCAGATTGCCTTCAAGCGCCATGTCCCGCCACTGAGGATTTGTCTTTTGCTGTTTGTTTCCTGTGCTAACAGGCGGCACCCTATGCATTTGGGTGCCGGGAGCGGCGAAGAAAGTGGAGAGGCAGGGCAAGCCACACGTGAACTTGCCAGTCGAAGATCCAAAGTTAGGTGGGCAAACTGCTTTTTGCTGCTGACTCTTTGTGCCTCTGGGGAATTCCTTGCAGATGGTGCCAAATGATTTTTCCTTGGCCAACCATCACTTCAGAAGCTTCAGACTGCTCCCCAAGCAGGATCGAACAAATTCCTGATTTGTGTATGTTCTACGATCTCTCATGGAAGCATGACCATGAAATATTGGCGAGCTTTATCGGCGAGCAATTTATATTTCCAATATAGTCACTATTCTCCAATTGTCCATGTGGGCTTTGCGAGGAGCGTTGATACCCATTACATCAAGCAGCTAGTTTTGACGCGCAGAATCGGCTCAAGCTATCTGCCATTTGGCACTGTGTGTGTTTTTTCATGCAGCATTGAACACGCGGCTTCTGGCACAACAGTTCTTCCCCACGGACCAGGATGGTGCCGCAGAAAGATTCAGTGATTTGCCTATCTGCAGGGGCCTTACTGCATGCACAGCTGATGTTGTGCTACCAAGCAGAACGATTGCGAAGGCTGTTTCCATGTTGTATTCGTTGCGACAAATGCACCTGCGCGTGCCAGCTTCTGGCAGTTTCTGTTGAAATCCAGGCAAATTCAGTGGGCACGCACCTTGCAGTGGGCTACCACAGCGGCAATGTCGCAGTGGTGGATCTTGAGGACTGGGCACAAATGCTTTCTGGCGTTTTTGCCATGCCAGCTTGGAAGCTGGATCTGTTTGGACAGTGCCTGTTGCCCTGCTCCGCAGAGCCGCGTCTTCCTTTGCTTTCGCCTGCGCGCCTCTGTGTGGCAGCCCTAGTGTGTGTGTGTGTGTGTGTGTGTGTGTGTGTGTGTGTGTGTGTGTGTGTGTGTGTGTGTGTGCGCGTAGACGGGTTTGCTCGACGAAGACGAGGCAAAGCCTTTCATGGATTCCTGGCGAGAATGGCCTTGTAAGCGCGCTGGACCTGGCACTTCCGAACGCGTTGAAGTTCCATGTATTGCGTGAAGCTCTCGCCATTGCGCGCATCCTCAGGCTTGTCAGGATCAATCTGTGCAGCTGTGGAGGCTGGCATGCTTCTGGACTTACAGCCAGTTCAGGGCGAGTGAAGTTTTTCGGCGAGGCTTCCCTCTGAGCTGGCTGGTGCCGAGGATTCGTCTGTTGGCATTGTTCTTTGTACTGCAAACACTCAGAAGCCCTCATCCTCTCAGCTGACCCAGGTTTTTCTCCGAAGAGTTTTTCCTGTTGTTGTTAGCCTGTGTTGCATATCCCGCGCACTGACTTGGGCAACACTCAAAACTCTGGGGCCTCTTTTGGCCCAGCATTTCCCAGGAGCCCTCTGCAGAGCAGCAGATCTCCCCGGCAGCTTGGCAGGATATGCGGTGAGGCCTCAGGCTTGGGATGGGCCTGTTGACTCCGATGCGGTCATTCAGAACCGGCTGATCCGGAATACCGATCCAAAATCTCACACTGATGTAACAGTGAGAAGACCCTACGAACACTTGTGTGGCTAAAAACCACCGTTGAATCTCTTTATATCTCTTTCTACACAGGTGGATAGAGTTGACAATTCTGTCAGCTGTTCGATCTTGTGTGCGGTGTAAGGCTGCTCAGTCTCGAGACGATAGCAAGTTGCCCAGAGTGTGTTCCGAGGGGACACTCATCAGAGTGCAGATGGTGTCACTTAACCTGACTGTGCCAAGGCAAGAACTGGATATGCGTTTGCGCGCTTTCTGGCTCGATGATCCTTTTCAGTGGGTCTTGTGCCCAGAGCGTGACTTCTGCCGGTTGTTTCTCCGGTGACCGGTGGCTGTCGCTACCTTGCTTATCAGGTCTCGCGGTGAGCTTTTTTGTTGGGAGGCACGCTGTGAGCTTCCACCATGGGTCAGTCGTGGTGTTGCAAGTTTCGGATGGCCTTTGTGTGCAAGTACCCAGCTTTGACACGCAAGGAAGGCCGCAAGCCAAGCAGGGCTGTCGAGGTCTCAGAAAGCTGACCCTGAAAAGATCGGCTTGCCCCGGGTCTTTGCTCACTGCAAGTGCCGGCTTAGGCCCCACTCCACACTAGACCCATCTTCGGCATGAAAGCCGTGGGAAGCGATCATGTGCCCTCAGAAACTGATTGCCCTGTACATGAACCATGGACATGGACGAGAACATTCAACGAAGGCCGTGCCATGCCAAGCTCACAACTGTAAGGTACTTACAGCAGGGATGGACCGCTTCATTGTCCTCTGGAGCTGTCGTGTTATGTCGTGTTATGTGTTTCTTGCTTCTGCTTTCAGAGCCTTAGGTTTCACCTTTGCAAGGAGCACAACTCCAGGTGCCGCTCCACAGATGTCCTGCCGGCCTGGCTGCGACCTCAGCTGTGCCCTCACAATAGCCGTGGTGATTCCGCCAGGAAGTGGCGATTCTGCTGCCTTGGAGGGCATGTCACTGCTGTACGGGCAGATGCAAACATTGCCTGCATAGGCAGCCGGAATTTGGCCAATCCAAGCCTTCAGACATGGAGCAGCTTGAAGTTCTTTCACATAGAAGCACGCTTTCAAAACTTTTTTTTTTCCAGGTTGTGGAGACAACAGCCTGCGGGTGATGGATCTCATGCACAGGGAGCATCGCCTGAAGCTTGGGAGGCGTTTCCTCAAAGAAAGCAACACGTTGGACGAGTGCACTCAGCATGGCTTTGCAAGGCCAGCACTGCTGGGTTGCCCTGACCTTACTACTTTGCCGAGGTATGATGTAGCAACACGCGGTTGGAAGCTGTGATGGACATTTACAAGCGCATGATCAAGGATTGTTTCATCTCCTTGGATGCAGCACTTTGGTGTTGATGTAGGATCTTTGTGTTTTGACACTGTTATCTTGCTCTCCAAAGACTTTGAGCATGACTTGCTATCGTACAGCTTGCCCGATGCCATCGATGCTCTAGCGACTCAGGCCTGGAAGGGCCTCCGCACTGCCGTGACCTGTTTGGCTTCCAGCGGCCGCGGCGCCTGGGGGTGCCTCGTCCGCTTCGGCTAGTGTCCAAATAACATTCCATTGCTCCAAAAGACATGGAGCCGGCAAGCAATTTGCGCAGGTCTTTCCCGGCTGTTTGAATTTGCCCTTGAGTCTTTTACTGTTGATGGTGCTGTGTGAATGTAACATGTTTGGGAACTCGCAGACGCTTGCTTTTGGGCAGGGTGGTTGTCCAACAAGGCCACCTGTCCATTGCTGTGTAGTAGAAGCACATCCTGTATGTGACATGGATTGATGTAGTCGGCAGCTCATCTAGATAAACTCATTTTCAGTGATGCAATGTTGGAAGCCAGATAATGGCATTGGAGTCCACAGCCTTGCTGGGCTTGTTATAAGGCCATATGATGTTACGGCTATCAATGGCCAACCACGCTTAACCAAGCACACAGCTGATCTGCAGGTACGGCCTCCAGGATGGTAGCTTTGGCGTCCTGGCTGTCAACGCATCGGATGGTCCAGGACCGGTGCGATGCTCAGTTCCTCGCTTGAGTCTAACCTTCAAGGTGCTGGGAATGTTCATGCGCTGTGGATGGACATGCCAAGGGCTGCTTTGATCCTTGCTGTAGAACGTGTCCTTGCTGTGTCACTTTGCTCAGCACCCAGAGGCAGAACCGCTTTGCACAAGGACAGCTTGTTGGGATGTGCAAGATGACTGGACGATCACATGCCATGCCCTCACTAGACAGGAAATCATGGCTTTGCAACCATTTTGGGATGGGTTTGATTTTCCTTGCAAGCAGTATCGCCCATGCAGGAGTCATCCAAGCCCTGTGAGTGATGTGTGCTGGATGCAGCTAGCAGGGCACCTAATAGGCTGAAGTCGGCTGGGGTTGCTGTGGGGGGCCGGGCCCCGCGGCGTGAGCGTGGCGGGCCCGTGGCGAGCCCGCGGCGGGCCCGTGGCGGGCCTGTGGCGGGCCCGGCCTTCGGGCTCCGTTGTGGCAAGCACTTGACTCAATTGGGGGTCCCGTGGCGGCACCTGGCCTGTGGAGGGCCTGTGCTCGCTATGTTTGCGACGTGTTGTTCAACTCTCTGACGTAAGAGAGTTCTGATTTGGGTTGTCAGGCCCGTTGGGCGCCCATCGCCCTTTGTCGCCTGGTGCTGTGAGGCAATCCGCGAGGCTCACAAGGAATCACAGGAGACGGAGAGCAGAGGCCCGCAGCTCCAGCACGCAAAGCGCGGCCTTTCCCTTGACAGGCCCAAAGAAGGGCAAGAAGGCCAGGGTCCAGTTTCTAGGGATCCATAGCTGAAGCATTCAGCCTTGCAGCATTGCAGGACTGTGGTGAAGATTGCCGCAGCTTGCTCCAAGGTGCCCCGTGCGCCGTTTCACTTTGCCGTATTTCACTGTTTTGCTGCACTGGGCATCTCAGTGACTCCCAGGCCTAGGGCTGCTCTCCCTGAGTACTGGTCGGGTGCTGCTTACACCAGCCAGTGCCTCGAGTCTCAGGCATTGCATGGGCATGTCATGGATCAAAGGTTGGCGGCAGCTCCTCTGTTGTGCAGCTGTTGCCGCTGGCCGGAGCACAGCACTTAGTGATCTTCCCAGGAAATGACACTTGCAATTACGCACGCCCAACCGACACACATACACACATACCACACACACACGCACACACACACACACACACATTCATCTAACGCAAACCCACAAGAACGATACAAGACACGCACAGAGTTCGGTAACGTTCACCTGGGGCCCCGCCTCCTTGGGTCAACACAGGGGGCATCTAGAATAACATCTTGCATTTTAGTCTCCAGTTGATTTAGTATCGGAGGAGCTTTCTTTTGATATTTTGATTTGAGTTTCCATTTATTTTGGTATTGCTGGAGCTTCCTGTTTAGATTTGGATTTGAGTTTCAGCATCTTCTACGATTTGGACTTGAGTTTTCATTTAGTATTGGTTGACTTGCGTTTCCATTTGATTTAGTATTGCTGGAGCTGCCTTGTAGGATTTTGATTTGAGTTGTCATTGGAGTTAGTATTGCGGAAGCATGTATACACCTTTTTTGGGGGGGCTGAAATAAAGTCAAATTGTAGGCCTGAAATGTTACCCCCCTCCCGCTTGGTGGGTTCGATTGTGTGCAGGTTTTAACAAGAGACATGTACGAAACATAGGTTTGGGGAAAGTAACCAGTTTGGATTTCAGGAGCAGGCTCAAACCTAACAACAGCCGGAAGCATGGCCTGCACGAGCTGGGCAATATTACTGAACTAGCTAAGAGGCAAATACATCGGGCATGCAGGAGACATAGCATTATTCTGGGGAAGCTGAACATGTTTCTTTTTGCGGAGCAGCCTCATAGTTTTTCTTGGTGTACGTGCATAGTATTTTCGTTTGCTTTTTTTGTTTGGATTCCCGGGGTGGGTGCTTGATCCAGATGCTTGTTTCGTTCTTTTTTTTGCTTTCTTTTTCCGCGATGCTTGTTTCGTTTTTTTCTTTTCCGCATTACAGGTGATTTGTCATGCCCGGAAGCTCACAGCAAGCCTTTGCTTTGCCTGTTCAGGGTTCGTTGAGGTGCCAGCGCAGCCCTGTGCAGCTGCTTTGTGGCCTTTAGCGGGCAAGTTGTCCAAACGAGGCAGCCTTGGGACTGGGATACAGCTTGCTCTTTGAGGAATGCTTGTATTTTTTTAGGTCAGTAATTTGGCCATGACTTTGATAGACCTCCCTGGTTTCTTAGTGCGCTCTCAGGAGAAGAGGTTCTGGTGATTGCTGCCATGCACAAGGTCAGGAGCTTTGTAGAGTTCTGAGGTTGTTTGTTGTTACCCTATATCACTCGCCAGTTGCCCATTTCACAGATTCAGAGGCAGGCTATGGCTGTGTGTGCCGAGGCTGGCGAGACAAGTGTGGAGACCAACAGCTTCCAATTCTTCTGCTTGGCAGAAGGCGAGGCATCGTGTCCGTTTGCACCGTGATAGATTGCATCATTTGTTGATGTCGTCACAGTCATTTTTTTTTTTTTTACACTGCGTTTGTGACTGGAACATAGTTGTTCTCGTGGCGGCTTGGGCAAGACTCCGACCATGCAAGAGATGTAGTGGAAAGGTGCCGAGGACTTGCGCTGCATGGGCCTTGCAACAGCACGGACCTCAAACAGACAGGTGAACGCACCCTGATCTAAGTGTTTCAGAAGTGGCTTGAGCCATATAGAGAATGCTGGAATGGTCTATCAGCTCATTTGCAGGGTTTCATTTTCAAAACTCTTTGTAGGCTGACGGCCTGGATGGCGGTGTGACAAAGATGTCGCTGCGGCTGGCCCAGCTTCACATTTACGGTGAGCATCTTGAATTTGTTTCAATACATGTGCTATGCTCATGGCAAAGTGCTCATGGCCTTTCAAGGTGTGCGACCTCAGACGGTCCAACATGCGGCAGGCGGGCAGCTGGCAAGCGTATGTTCCGTTACTGTGTGTTGCTTTCGCTGCACGCCGTAAAAAGAGAACTGTGTTAGGAGGATGACCACATCATCATACATGTTCCGCGCAACATGAGCAAGACATATCTTCGCCAAATAGCCCATGGAACATTTATCATGTTCGATTTCATTGCCAATGCGATTCGCATTATCCAGATTCGAGAGCTTCGATTCCTTGTGCGCCACAGGCTTGCCTGCGGCACCAGCAAAGGAGGCTCTCTGATCACTGATGCATGGGTCAGTGGATTACCAGCGTTGATTAAACCGCGCGCTTGGCTGATGCATTGCAGCTTCAGGACGTGTGCATCCCTCGGTGGTTTTGTTTGTCAGGCCTCGCAGTGTTCCACTTGCAGTGGCCGCCTAGTGCTGCAAGTGCTGCGGCTGCCCAGGCCCCTCGCGCGTAGAAAGTCTTTGCAAGTTGTTGCGTGCCTCGACTAGATTGTTCATAAGTCTTGCAGGCAGTTGATGGTGGTATGCCGCCGGCCATGTCTCCAGAGGCGCTTCATGTTTGGCATAACTTTTGTTTGAAAGGGAAGCAGGTCCCTTTCGCAGGCACTTTCACACGCCTGAAGAAGCGCCATGTCTGGCGGACTTGAAAGGACAATGCCACCAGTTGGCAGTCAAACGAACTGACAATGCTTTTAGCGCTGTCTCAAAAGCCAACCAGGCCTCAATCCTTGATTGAATCAGATGTGCGACGCTGTCAGGCCTTGGTTCGCTGCCACAGCAAGGCCGAGTTCGGAATCCGAGAAGCAGACATGCGTCAATCGGTGAGGCGGTCGTGGACGTGCAGTGGCGACCAGGGAGCTGGGCGCCCAGCTAGGCTGCCCGAGATGCATTTGGTGACAGGCGACCAAAGGGAAACCAAAGGGAAGTCATCCCTTTTCGGGGTTACCCGAATTGGAGACAAACCCAAGCATAGCTGTGCACTCAACTTGCTGACCGGTTTGCAACCACAGCTGACTTGAGATGGGAGCGCAGATTCCACCATTGAAACCAGCAACGGACTCGGGAGAAAAGTAATTCGAGAGTAGCATTTGGACCAGAGAAACATGAGGCTCGATGAATGCCTGGTAATGCCTGGGATTCCATTTCCGGATGTCTTACAATCGAGTTACTTCCAAGGCTCTCAGGAATCTCAGCTTCTTTCTGCTGGGCAGGACCAGAGCGTGCTTGAATGAAGCCAGCCTTTGGCCGCTCGTACGGGATGGGTAGGGCCACTGGACCGCGCTTTCAGGTCAGGAGGCTTTGTATGAGTTTGCAGTTTGCAGGATGGCTCCGTGAAGGTGTGGTCCTTGGAGTTCAAGCCCACGGCGTGAGGGCCTCACACAAAGCTGCGACCAAGGCTCGCCCGTTATGAGTCAGGTGATCAATTGATCAATGTGAGTGAGGCGAGTGAGGTGAGCCAGGTGAGCCAGGTGAGTCAGCTGATCGATGCGAGTGGGGTGAGTCAGGTCTGTGAGGTGAGTGCGAGTGGGTGAGTCAGGTGAGTCAGGTGAGTGAGGTGAGTAAGGTCAGTGAGGCGAGTGAGGTGAGTCAGGTGATCGATGCGAGTGAGTGAGGTGAGTCAGGTGATCGATGCGAGTGGGGTGAGTCAGGTGAGTCAGGTGATCGATGCGAGTGGGGTGAGTGAGGTGAGTCAGGTGAGTGAGGTGAGTAAGGTCAGTGAGGTGAGTGAGATGAGTGAGGTGAGTAAGGTCAGTGAGGTGAGTGAGGTGAGTGAGGTGAGTGAGGTGAGTGAGGTGAGTGAGGTGAGTGAGGTGAGTCAGGTGATCGATGCGAGTGGGGTGAGTGAGGTGAGTCAGGTGATCGATGCGAGTGGGGTGAGTCAGGTGAGTCAGGTGAGTGAGGTGAGTAAGCTGAGCGAGGTGTGTCAGGTCATTGAGGTGAGTCAGGTGAGTGAGGTGAGTGAGGTGAGTGAGGTGAGTCTGGTGAGTCTGGTGAATCAGGTGAGGAATGTGAGTGAGGTGAGTGAGCTCAGTCAGGTGATCGATGCGAGTGGGGTGAGTCAGGCGAGTCAGGTCTGTGAGGTGAGTAAGGTGATCGATGCGAGTGGGGTGAGTCAGGTGAGTCAGGTGAGTGAGGTGAGTAAGGTGAGTGAGGTGAGTGAGGTGAGTGGGGTGAGTGAGGTAAGTCAGGTGATCAATGTGAGTGAGGTGAGTGAGGTGAATCAGGAGATCAATGTGAGTGAGGTGATTGAGGTGAGTGAGGTGAGTCAGGTGAATCAGGTGATCAATGTGAGTGAGATGAGTGAGGTGAATCAGGTGATCAATGTGAGGTGAGTGAGGTGAGTCAGGTGATCGATGCGAGTGGGGTGAGTGAGGTGAGTGAGGTGAGTGAGGTCAGTCAGGTGATCGATGCGAGCGGGGTGAGCCAGGTGATTCAGGTGAGTGAGGTGAGTGAGGTGAGTCAGGTCAGTGAGGTGAGTCAGGTGAGTGAGGTGAGTGAGGTGAGTGAGGTGAGTGAGGTGAGTCAGGTGAGTCAGGTGAGCAAGGTGAGTAAGGTGAGTAAGGTGAGTGAGGTGAGTGAGGTGAGTCAGGTGAGTCACTTGAGTGAGTAGAGTCAGATGTTGCCCATTTCATTTTTTTGACTATTGGTCCGAGGTTGAAGCTGCGAAGCAATGCCAATCCCACCAGTGGAGCGTTGCTTGCAGCATGTCGGGGGCTTGATTCAATCAGCCAGCGCCAGTTTTTTCAACGCAGTAGCAAAGCCGCGACTGTACTCCTCCCATTGGTTTACTATTTCACTGACCACAGTGGATGCAGGCACTTTTCCTGCTTATTACTGCCGCTTACCAGTATCCTCTTGCTTCTTGCTCTCCTGTCGCTTCTGTGTTACTTGGCTTCACAGGCTGGGATGCCAGTGGGGAGGAATCCGCTGTGCTGGCGGGCGGACGCGACCAGATTGCCTTTCGTTGGCTGCCGGAGGCCGGGAGAGAACGGAGCTGGAGGCTAGAGGTGAGCAATGGATCCAAATTCGAATGTGCTAAACATTTGAGTCGCAATGCTTTTGAGCAGGCAGCTGACGTGGCACCAGTTGCCGTTCCCATGCACATGCCCAAGGAGAAGGAGGCCTGCTTTTCGACGCACCCTGTTCGGATTATGAGAGCAGTTTGAGCGCGCTACGCCAGCGTTGAGCGCGCTACGCCAGCGTCCGCCTCTTTGCGAAGAGTTAGAGCCAGGAGAAACCATGCCCAACAGAAAACACATTGTTTCTCAAACGCAAGACGCAAACAAGAAAACTCACACCAGGGAGACCATTGCGTTGGTGTCCTTGTGTCTGTGCTCAATCCTTGCGGTGTGTTTATTTTCGGGACTTTGTCTTGATCGGGTGTCCCTATGCAGTTTTGTTTCGAAACACAATGCTCCAGCGCTAGCGGATTTGTTGGTACCCGGATCGAGGCATGTTGAAATCATTTTGTCGGTGCCCCAAATCTGTCTTTGTTCTGGGGGCGCCGTCCTATCCTCACGCACACACACACACAGACACACACACACACACAAACACACAAACACACACGCACACATGTTCCAGCGCTTGCGGGTAGAGGCATGTCTTTTTGTTGATGTCCCGCCACTGTTTGTGCCCACTGTGTGCTGTCTTTGTTTTGTAGACATCCAGCCACAGAGTGCTCCAGCGGCTCACAGATTCTTTTAGATTTTTTTGTAGTCAGCCGTAGCGACTCCTACGTCCAGCCTTGAAGAACCTGTGTCTTCTCTGCGTATGCTAAATACAAGCAGTGTCGGGTAAAGTGCTGAAGTCAGGGGCCGAAAGCCCTTGCTACGCAGACACTGTCTGCGGTGACTGTCAAGCTTTGAGCCGTTGTTTTGAAGTCGGTGGGTAAGTTAAGTAAATGCAGATATTTGGCGCATGGCGCTGGGAAGGGGTCATGTTGGCTCTTGCAAGTCTGCCAAGTGAGCTTGAAAAGCAACTTGCGCACTGTCATTGACTTGAAGGAGTTCTGGGCTGAGCTTAGCTGCCGCCCCCGCAAGACAACCAACCTTTCAAGTGTTTTTCCTACAAATTCCCACTTCCCGGGCCTTAAAAACAATATGAACAGATGCTTTTCATGTCGTAATTGAATGAGACAATATTCTTACACAATAGTGTCTCATGATGATTCACGTTTTCCAGGCCTTCAAAACAACATCAGGCGTGCTTTTCGACTGCTGCCACAAACACACCATGGGGCGAACCCACTGTTGGGGCTGTTTGGGGCACATCGTGAGAGAAACTTTTGGAGCACACATTGCGACTGCCCTTGTTTGCAGAAGACTGGAGGAACGGCCTGGCGGAAACAACTTTTGACGGCATACTGAATTGGGTTCAAAGCGAGGTAGGATCACACCTCCAAACCGGGATGGGGCGAACGACGCGTTCGTGACATGACACGTGCGCAACCGCAGAGTCGTTGTGTGCCAGGATATTTTTTTTGTCTTTCATTTTTTGTTCTTCTTCTTCTTTTTTCTCCGGCCACTTAAGCTTATTCCGACGGACTCATTGCAACGCTTGGGGCGTGTCTGGAGGGAAGGCTAATCAAAGAAGCAGCGCGCCCAGTTGTGTGCGGAGGTGCCCTTCGACTACGTTTGCTCAATCTTGAAGTTATTTACAGCGAGGTGCGACACGACTTCGGAATAAGATCTCCGCGAGTTTTGCAGGAAGGACCCGTGAGCAGTAGCCCATAGCGCAACTGAAGAAGCGCATCCAAGGCAAACGTGTCGAAAATGTTGGCAGGCAGCGCACGCCGCACGAACACGATAGCTTCGGCTTCATCCTCCGACTTAAACTGTCTCCGGCAATTGAAGCATTGTGATCGCAAACGCATGCGGCTTTGAACAACGAGAGCAGGGACGTCACGTGGTCGCAGGGGTGGAGGAGAGGTATGAACAACAGACCGATAAGTTATGCGGCAAGGAACTGCCTATCTGACAAAAAATGCTGGCAGTGTATTGGTGGCACTAGAAGCCAAACAAGTAGCGTCGCGATCCAGTAGCTGGGTGGGAGTTGAGTGATCGTATCCACCTCATAGGCAGCCCAAGCACATGCAGGCTGGGGCTTCTTCGCGGGTAATCAACCGTGGTTTTGCAAGGGGCCCGTTTACTGCCCTTATGAAAAGCTCTTGACAGCCATGTTGTTTCACTTCCTGCTGAACCAGGCACACGCCGACATCGTGATGGGCAGCCAGGAGGTCTGTCCGAAAGACTCGCGCCCGTGCTCCTCAGTAAGAAAACTTTGCCGTGAGTGGTGCTCCGGACATGGACGGGGAAGCAGTGGAAGTGCTGCGAATTACCGCATGCCTGCGTTCAAGCTGTGAGTGCCGGCACCCAGGAAGTGTGCGCCTATTGGGTCGCGTTCATGTGCAGCATGTGCGAAGTTGGACAGCGTGTTGGGCCCACGGGACTTGTTGTGGCAAGTGGTGATTCATTTTCGCATGCAAGGTGCCGTCAAGACAGTCATCATGATGTCTACCAGCTCTCAGGACAAGTCGAACGAAGAGGGCAAGTCCATTTTTGGCGAGCTCTATGAGGTGTTGCGGAATCTGTACAAGATACCGGAAGAAAGCGAAAGCAGAGGCGGATGCCACCTGCTTTCGCAAGCAAGCGAATGGCGAGGCCGGTCGGTCTGATGACGCCAGACGGGCTGGAGCTTGTTCTGGAATATGTTAGTCGGCGCGTTGGTTTTGCAGTGGCGCAGTTGGAAGTGGCTACGGAGCTATGTGCAAGTGGAACGCTCAGCTGGCTTTACTCCTGATTTGCTTTGCGTTGGTCGACGGCCAGCGAGTCTCTGGGACATGCTCAGGGTACGTGTTTGTGCACCCAGATGTGTGTCTCACCGGCTGTTTTTCCAGCAGACATCGCGCAAGACGTCGGTACTCAGCTACAGGTAGAGATGCTTGGTTGTCGCGGTTTACACAGCGCAGGTTCTGTGGATGTGCTTCTGATCCTTTCTGGGCCTTGCGGATCACTAGTCTTACGCAACGCATTCTGCCAGTGTCACGCGAGCTGGGCGCAGCGCAGCCCCAATGGCAAGGCGAAACCAGAAACGGAGCTTAGTGCTGGTTTGGGGAGGCCACACCCAAATTCCACAGAAGCCAGGGTCCGATTCAATGTTTTCATGGCCCTATGGGCAAACAAGTTCAACCCCATAGCACCCTTGTCATTCTAGGCAGCAGACGTCGCAAGCCATCCGCAATGCAAACGCAAATATGATGATGCTGGGGGTGGTTGTGAGCAGCCGTGCATATGTCTTTGCGCCCGAAGGCACGCTCGAGTAAACTAGAGCCGAACATTACTGAACCAGAACTGCCAACAGCCAAACCAGCAGAATCTCAGCAAAAGATGGCAGCTCACCTGCTGAAGCCCCGTGTCCTTGAGGCCCAGGTGAATGGAGGTTTCTGGCAGCAATATCGAGAAGAAACATATTAATGTACATTTGGAGCCAAAAATGCAGGTCCCGAATGCGTTCGGTTTTGGCAAGCCCCTAGCATCCACCCACATGCTCGACTAGCATTGGCGGGTTTGAGTGAGGGGCTTTGGCAAGCAACCCCGCATTGGCAAAAAGAGTGGCGGGCAGGCTCCACCTTCGCAGCCACGAGTGTCCGCTGCTCGTGTGAAGGCTGCAACCAAGGCTGTGCCGAAGGCCAGGAACCAAACGGGCAAGCGGTCCCTTTCATGTTGGGAAGCTCCGATTCACACGGAGGGTTGCTTTCGTCCAGCTGATCTTGCGCTTTGGCCACGAAGCTGACCCTCAATCAGGGTTCAAGCAGTCACTTGCAGGCTGCCAGCACTGCCAAGGCTCGGCTTTGGGTGCGTGAGTCTCGTGGTGCTTTGTGTGAGGCAATCTAACCAGGATGTTGGAGTTGTTTAGCTGCGGGACTTGAAGCCCTGGGCACGTGGTTTGCTTTCCATCATTTTCACGATGCAGCTAGTTGAATGGGGGTTCTTTTTCATTAGCAAGGGCACCTGGTATGTTCACAAGCATCGCTTCTGCCCTCCTCAGGAGAAGTCTTCTTTGCTGTCGCAGACCTCTGCAGCACTCTACCAGCAGTGGGCTGCTAAGCCACGGCTCCAAAGAGTATCAGGGTTGCCAATCAGTCCGTTGGATCAGTTGCTGCCTGTGACAGGTCTTCCAAGGCTCGCGCAATGGAACTGGCACGAGTTGCACTTGAAGGCAGGGAAGCGTGAGACATGATAGTAGATGGTTGACAAGGCACTGGACTGCACAGCCTAGCATGAGACTTTGTATTTGTCCTTGACTTTGTATTTGTCCTTCTTTTTTGCGCTGAGGTGATGATGACAGTCTTTGGCCAGGCGAACCTTTGCGAGTGCGTTACTCAAGTTGGGACTGAACCGCTTGGAGTTAAAGACATTCAGTGAGTTGTGCCTTCCACAGCTGGTCCACGATTGCTGTCAACCTTGTTTGGAATCTTGCAGACTTCAGGCAGACTCGGCAGACGGTCTGCGGCTCAGCCTCACAAGTAGTTTGGCCCTTTTGACTGTCCGCTCCCTTTTTCGACGATCCCACCCTCCTAGTCTGGTTGCCCAGGGTTAGATCATCATTTTTGATTTCTTGATGTCTCAGGAACCTTGCTGGAGGCGGTGTTCATCAACCGGCAAAGCCTGGCGGAGCAGTGGCTCCAGCTGGAGTTGAGCCAGGCCGATGGCCACCGGGCATGGCTGCTGCAGACCTGGGCCGACGAGGACGTGGAGCCCGAGCTCGGCGCACCCCCTGTCTCCGCCGCGCGGCTCGGCGGGAGGGCAGTCCTGTGCTGGGGTCAACCGGCTGGCGCCAGTGGGGGCCATGAAAGGCCATGGGAGGCCGTGGGAGGCCATGGCCACAGCGCGACATGCGGAGGGAGAGAGTTGCTCCTTTTGCCGAGGTGGCTTTGGGCAGCCTTGGCGCGTGATCGCAATGAGGCGTTGGCACAGCTGGTGGCCAACGATGCCGAGAACATCCACCATAGGGTTGTGGCAGCGCTGGCATTGGGGCGCTTGGAGGATGCAGTTGGCCTCTACCTGTCACAAGAGCTTTTGGCGGAGGCACAGGGAACGTCCAGCCGACACGTGCACATGTCGCGACCCAATAAGCAAAATCCCAAAGAAAAGAGTCAGAGAGAGCGGGTGTGATGTATTGAGTCTTGAGGCTGTCAATTGTTTGTGCGAGGCCTTATTGCTGGCCCGTCTACGGCTGCCATCGCGGCACCCGCTGGTGCTCCACATCTACCGCGGCTGGGCGCAAGACTTCCAGCGCCGCGGCCGCCAGGACCAGAGCGCTCTTTGCTTCTTCGCCACCAAGGAGCCAGCGGGATGCGAGAGGGCAGAGGCAGATGAGCCTGAAGAGGCTGAAGAGGCTGAAGAGGCTGAAGAGGCTGAAGAGGCTGAAGAGGCTGAAGAGGCTGAAGAGGCTGAAGAGGCTGAAGAGGCTGAAGAGGCTGAAGAGGCTGAAGAAAGAATGTCAAGCCTTTGTATTCACTGGTCTTGACAGCAGCTTGGGCTGCAAGGTCAAGAAGCTGTAACGATGGCCTCACGCGCAACTCAGCCTTGTGCATTGTTCAATTGGCCTTGCGTCTCATGCATCTGCGAGGAGCTGGGCAAAGCCATGTCCCAGTTAGAGGCAAGGCATGCTGTGGGCGCAATTGAACAGCATGCGTTCAACCTTTTAGCAAAGCTGGTCCGCTTTGCTGAGACGAGCAGACAATTGCACCTTGTGCCCTCATGCTCTGGCATTTTGCCATTCCGGCTTTAAGCAGGAGAAAAGACGTAAAGCAGAGTTGGATCACTTTGGGCACTTGTGGACAGGACTGGCTGGCATTGCCGCGAGCTCCGCTGGGCCCAGACCCCTTGCGTTTGGCGGCTGCCTTTGCAGCTGCCAAGGCAGCAGCCAGACTGAAGGCTTGGATGCGTTGCTTTGTAGCTGGTTTCAAGCTTTTGCTTTGCGTGCGGCGTTTGGTTTGCCAAGCATTTCCCAGCGCAAAACAAGCTGTCATTGACGGGAGGCACTGTGGATTCCTTGTCGAGCTTGGGGCTCCCAAATGTCCGACATCCATGTAGAAGTTCAAGAGATTTCGCAACTCATCGAGCTTGCAAAGACCTGTCTCTAGAATGACACTCCATTCTAGCTTGGGGTACACATGCAACAGCAAAACGTATTATACATCATTTTGCAACATTCCAGCAGTCCTGAATTCAATGCAAGGCAGGCATTTGGCTCAATTTGTGTTCAAAGCAACACCCAGGTTCCCAAGATAATGTCAGTCATATCGGTTTCAATCCAATTTTTGCTGCTGTCTTGCACGACACTTTCAGCAGCGGAGACTATCACAGGATACATTTACTGTGACAACTACTTTGAGTTTTACTTCAATGGCCAGCAAGTTGGTGTGGACCCTTTGGACTTCACACCTCACAACGCTGTCAAAGTTAGCTTTGACTTTGACGAAACCTCGGGGCAAAGCAAAACATATGCGATTCTCTGCCAAGATTATGCCAGCACCAGCGGCTACGAGTACACCTCTTCCAGTCCGCAGCTTGGTGATGGAGCGCTACTAGCGGAGTTCTCCGATGGCACGAAGACAGGGCCACAGTGGAAGAGCTACGTGGTGACCTTTGGCCCCACGGATGCCTCGATCAGTAATGGTTGCGCTGCTAGCAATTTGAGCCCGTGTGTCGTGCAAGACAACGGCGTCCCGCAGAATTGGCAGAATGCCAGCTTCGACGACTCAGCTTGGAGCTTTGCCACGGAGTATACAGCTGCTGAGGCTGGGTGGGGCAGGAAGCCAAGCTACTCGAATGGCCAGTGCGGCACCATCACGTCCCCGGTCACAAGACAAACCGCAAGCCCAAGCTCGGTGGCGAGCACAGCAGACCAATGTCTAGATCCTAGATCTGTTCTGTGTGGTGGGGATGAGACGTGCTCTGGCAGCGACCCACGCTTTATTTGGGGTTCTGATATGGACCGAGACAACAAGATGCTGTTTCGGTACACAGTGTCTGGAAGCTCCGACAGCAGTGGCAGCAGTACCACATCAGCTTTCACGTCCTCGACAAATGGTGTGGTCAGCGGAGCTCACTTTCCGACAAGAGGGCTAATTTCACTTTTGGCAGTGATAGTGCATCTCTGTGCGAATGTCAGGGTAATCTGAAACGTAAACCTGATCCAATCAACCTTGCGCATTCGATTTGTACTGGGAAAAAGGTGCATTTGCCCCAACCACGAGCTCAAAGAAACTTGCCTGGATGGGGACAGTATCACGCCATTCTTCCCCCCAAGTCAACATGCGCCGTGCAGGTTGACGGCATGCCGGATGGAAGCCGCTGCCTAAGCCAACAGACGTAAGCTTTTGAAAGTAGCTTGGATTGTATTTACCCCTGCTCCCTGGAGGAGGTCAAGGTGATAGTGAGGACGATGCTGACTATGACGCCACGCTGGGGGCTGAGACCTAGGCTCTTGCTTCAACATCAGGATCATCCTATTTGGCCATCGGGGGGGGCAGCATAATCCTTGAACTTGCCTGCTCGCCCAGTTTGGCCTTCGACCACCGAAGTTGGTGGGGTCGGCCGGAGTTACGGGCAGCCGTTCAGGCTGGGCGTCAAAGAGCTACGTCTTCACAGCATCCTTCTATTTTCTTTGCAAGGCCTGGAAGCGCTGCATCGTAGAGGCGCTGCACATGGGCGCTGAGCTGAGATGCTTCGTTTTGGATTCCGAATTCTATCTGATCGACAAAAAGCAAAATGCCCCCGTCAGCGTGTGAGCTGCTTGTTTACTTTTCATGGGTGCGGATGTAGCCGCGCTGGCGAGCTCCAGTGCTAGGTGATGCTTGCTCGGCGCTGCGCCTTGCCAGGGTTGGGCACTTGGTGCTGCAGCTCCCAGAAGCCCTCAGAAGCCTGACTTATGATGACTTATGGTGTTTCTTTACGTGCTTGATCAGTTGCCAAAAGAGCCCAGATTGCACTTCATGCTTTCTGAGGTGGGCCCCTTGAAGCGCGCATCGGCCTGAGTCTGTTGCCAAGATTCTCTCTTGGGAGTTGAGAGGGGAGATGTTGGCCAACAGAGCATGTCCAAGTACAGCGTCCGGATTACAGCCACTCCAAAGAGTAGGATTCCTTTTTCCTTTGGTTGATGTGAAGCCACTGAATGAAGCAATCCCATTTTGAGACATCAAGTGGCTGCGACGCGTGAACAGCCCAGCGACCACAGCTCGCAGTCTGCGAATGCAAGGCCTTGACCGAAGGCGAGCGCTTCCTCCGCGGTGCCCTGGCTGGTTATGCCGCGACCTTGGGAAGAGTCAAGACATGGGCAGAACATGTGTTGAGTCTCTCAGTTCGTGCACCTATGGTTCTGCGAATGTGGGCGCTTCGTCCACCTTTTGTTTTGAAAGAGATATTGGCTTGAAGTTCTCGGAGAAGGTGTCTTCCAAGGCATCTGCCATGGCCTGGTGGGTGCAGCTGCAGAAGCAGCCAGAGGCCAACTGGTTGAGGGCATGCCAGCATGGTGTGTGCAAGGTTAGGTTTTTCTATCATTTTCAATCTTGGTTTCCGTGCACCTACAGCATCGGCAGCAGTTGGGGGTTTGCCGTGGCAAGAAGCTTTGGCAAGCAATGTCACCTTAGCTGTCCAGTTTGTTGTCTAGTCGCTTCGCCATGCACACGTTAAATGTGGTGCAGTTGCTTGTAGGCAGAGAGCCCGACTTTCAGCAGCTTCCTGGAGTCCGCCTCCTTGGAGGAGGAGGTAGCCGCAGCCTTTCCCCATGTGCCAAGAGAGTTGCGGAGGGACGGAAAGAGATGTACTGTAGATCTGCTTTCCAGAAAGTATCTGCGCAAAATCAAAGGCTGAAGAACAGGCATGCATGTTTTTGAGTGGCAAATCCAAGCAACAAAGTGCAAGTTGTACTGAGTAAGACCGTCATCAAGATGATTGCACTTGTAGGGTTGGTGCTTGTGCAGATGACCTTGCCTAGGACTGGGACTTTGAATGGCGTGCGCTGACATGGCTGCCAGCTTACGCCGCAACGGAGGCAAGGATGGGTTTTGGGTTTTTGCGGTATGCGTGTTTCACAAAGTTTGGCCCATTGGCCGTAGGGCACGTCGAGCACATTGAGCACATAGCACATGGCATTTGTTTCGTGAGGACCCGCTGCTGTGCGCTGCCGTGGAGCTGGGCCGAGGCTGCGCGTCTTTGGCCTCTGGCGGGCGTGGAGACGACCCTGAGGCAAGCCAGCGGATTCAGCCAGACTTGAGCGCATGCAGGCGTCAACAAGCAAGCAAGCGTCATCAAATCTTCCACCTACAGCAAGGGCCGTTCTGGATGAAGGTAAACGTAATATGTGAATGTTGAAGGCTTAAAGCAAAGGTAATCTGCAGGCTGAGCAAGGGCGGCAACCGCCCAAATATGCGAAGTGCAGACCTATGCTAAGACTCTACGTAGTTGTCCCGCCTCCTTCCTTCCAGCAGGCACCCTGGACACACTTGCTGACGGCTATGGATGCCTTGATGAGAGGAGCTTCCACCGCGCTGCAAAGCATGCCTGCTGCCCAGTCGAGTTTACGGCAACATGTGCCGCAAATCACGCTCCAAGCAACTGAGTCGAGCCTTCCCATTGAGAGAACTGAGGCAAGCCGACGGACCTTCTCCTGACACTCGGCATGCACCCGGACCTTCTCTTCGCCTTTGAAGCACTCGAAGCACTCGAAGCACTCGAAGCACTCGAAGCACTCGAAGCACTCGAAGCACTCGAAGCACTCTGCGCAAGCAAGTTCACCCTCTCGCGCACACGCATCCTGCGCTCGGATGCAAATGCTTGCGTGCTTGTTGCGCTTTTGCGTGGATCTTGACGTGAAGTTGTCCATTTTCCACACGGGGAGAATTTCCTTTCTCTTTTTTGCCATTTGAGGCCCAGGCGGAAGGATTCCTTCTGGCCGCAGAGCCCTTGCGGCGCCTTGCTGGCTTGCGCAGGCACAGCGGGTGAGAGAGAGAGAGAGTTTTCGCGAGCCTCGCCTTCTCGCTTCACTTTATCTTAAATACTCTTGTAGGTTGCAAGCCTTCAGAGAAGCTAATCAGTAGAACTGTTGCTGAGTTCAGATACATGCTCATCACAGACCTGAGAATACATCCTTGAAGAAGCTATCTATTTCTATGTGATTTCAGGCAACACGGTGAATCCGAACACGCCAATCCGGTCACTGGATTTCTGCAATTCGCACTCGGCTCGCAATGCGAGATTCAAGATCAAGAATCACCAGTTTGTTACCCAAGGGCTCAAGATTAGATCCCTTGATCTTAGTTTTCAATGCATGTGTTCGACGCCATCTCTTGAGCTCGACGACCGGGTAGAGCAATGGCAACATTCTGGCATCCCAGCCTTGAACTCCAGACGCAATGCCGTCTCAGTGATAGATCTGTTGTAGTGTGTGAGCCAACGCATTCCGTTTTGGTGACACAACACATACAACCATCGGAAGAAGACATGCAGTCTTTCGCAAATATAGAGGCTGAGTGATTGCAGTCATACTTCGGCTTTCTACACCATTGTCCCCCCGTATGAAATGAAGTGCGCAGACAACACACCCATCCAGAATAATCTTAAACAGACATCCAATCCCCTCTCTACGGTATGCCATGTAACATTGTGGATGAGCCCTTTACACTGTAAAGGCTCAACTTATTGCAGTTCACTCCACTACTATTCCGTATATTTCGGATTTGTCCTACGCTCCCAGTAGGACACTCCGCTAGTCCCAGTTCCTCCATCTCCGCGAAGTAGCCTGGTCAACTCTCCCTGAACTGCAGGTGCTTGGGCGCTCGCGAGTTTCTTGGGATTCATGTACAGATTGTTCTGGTAATCCTTTGTTTCTCCGCGGAGCCCGACTCAGCAAGAGACAATATTTTTCGAACCCTCCGCAACATGTCTTTGGGTAGTGCTACTCTCACAATATTTTAACTCATGCTCCAAGTTACATGGCCTACCTAGGTTCGCAAGTTTTGCCTACCTTCCTATGCCATGTCAGACCGCCAATAACACTAGGTCGTTTTGGTCTCGTCATAGATAAATTGCTTGCCTTCGCAAGTGTATGGGCGCGTTCACACGCCTCCGTCCCCAATTTATCGCTCATTTTGCCCTGTTCTTATCTACTGTCTCTCTCCCTCTCTTTACGTCTCTGTCTTTTGTTCTTTCCTTCTCGGGTAATCGATAAATAGTTGCCATTTGAACACTTCACAGCGCAACAGGCTCCTTCCATGACAGACTTGGTTGCCACAACTTGGTGGATAGTGAACATATCAAACCCTGAAAGGAATAGTTGTGCTGCTGTGGTTTGCTGGTTTGCGAACGTCTCACACAAATAAGTTGCCTCAATCCTTCTTGGTTCTAGCACAACAAGCCGCGCCGCAGGCAGGCAGGGCAAAGTCTGGATTTGGCTGTGCCGATCTTGTGATGTGACTGCATGCGCCAGCGGCTCAAGCCATAGTGTTGGTGTTTTTGGTAAGGATGTAATGAGTTGAGAGTCCATGAAAGCCGCATGACGAGACGTGTGATCCTGGCAGACTCATTGCAAGCCTGAAATTGATCGCATTTGGCATTGCTTGGCCACCAGGTCTGACAGCTTGAGGCCGCTTGGCTTTTGCTCCGCTTTCAGTAGTAAGGAGGTCTGACGATTTGTGATGGCCGCCTCATGGCGACCAACATCGAGTCGGCTGGGCCTGCTGTTGGTAGCACTCCTCGCCATTTGGCTCTATTTAGACTGAGTTTGGCAGATGCTTTCAAACGCGAAGTTCTCAGCAAGCTGTTTCAGATGCTTTCGTGGTGAATTTGAAGCTCTCAGCTTTTTCAGGCTCTGCAAGCTGGAGCTTCAGGCAGCGCCCCCGCAGCTTGCGGGCCCAGTGGCAGCATCGTGGTGGCTTGGGCGGAAGTCGAGCTGCCGATGTTTGACAGTTTGACTCAGTTTGACTGATTGCGTTTGAACGCCTTTGCCCAGGTGGACCTTGTAAGGCCCCTGTGCTGCAGTAGAGAAGGAGAAGGCAGCAAGGCCCACGCCAGACCCACGCAAAGCCCTCCAAGTTTTGCCAGCTGAGGCTTTGGCCAAAGCAGCCTCACACCAACCAAGATCTCACTGTGGAGGTCGTTGGAAAAGTGCCACTAGATGATGAGCCGCAGGACTATGAATGACAAGTTTCGATCAACTTGAGCCCTGCTCGAGTTTGGCCAGGACCCCAATCTGATTGGCATGGACGCGAGGGTTGCCTGGTAGCAAGGGGTTGGTGTGGGCTTTGTTAGGGATGCTCATTCTGTTGAGTCTCCTTGTTGACTGAACACTCCTTCCCGGAGGTGCTCTTTTGTCGTCGCATCAACGACTGCATGCCAGTTCCTGGGCTGATTCATCGGATTTGGTCAAGCGGAGTGCAGTGCCTGGCCTCCTTGTGCAGGCAAATGACATTCCGGCCCATCTTGTCGGCTGTGGAAGCGTGAGCCAAGGTTTTCCATTTCACAAATACATTATGTGCAGCGCTAGAGGAGAGTGGTGATGAGTGCCGCTCTCTGCGGCTCGGCCAGGTTGTAGGCACAAGGTTTTGATCTCCAAATTTCAATTCGTCTCAGGAGGCCTGGTGACGACTTCCTCATCTCGAAGTCATGGCATCTTCCGCTGCTTATGGTCCGCGGCACATACACTCTTTTGCTTCAGTTTCATAGGCTGGGAAGGGAGGGCTGGCAATTCTCGACATATTCTACCAGCCACGGCAAAAAATGCACAGATTTCGCTCGGCAAACGGCACTGTGGTTAGGCTTGGCCAGAATAGTACGCACAGCCCAGCGGCCTATCAGCACCTTGGCTGCAGAGGAGGAGAAGGGTTCATTGCGTGGGTTCACTCACGCAGTAGTGGCCCCACTGAAATTTCAGAAGTCCAGGTGCGGATTTCGCTCTTGGCACCTGGAGGGGCTCATAGGGCCAATGTTGGTAAAGCCGAGGTACTATCAAAATGCGATCAACAGCCAGTTCTACAGGCACTGCGGAGCCCTGATCTCATGCCGCGTATTTGTTGTTTGGATACTCTTGTAGACGTGATGCTGTGTCACGAACATGTATTTTTGCTTGCCATGCAGGCCAAAGGGTGATGTCAAAGACTAAGCTGCACACAGCTGTTTCTTGCGGCTTATGCAGAGAGCACTGCAGACAAAGTGGCTGCCTGCGCGCCGGATTATGAACTCTGGCAGTGGACAGATCTCTTTACCGAGGTCATGTCTTGCTATACGCTCCACGAGGAGGTTCTTGCAAGCAGACAGATCAATGTCCTGCGCGACTATCGCGATGCCATCATGGCTTTCCTGATAGCGCCTTGAACAATTGACTTGCAGACAAAAAGAAACGTGTTTGTTCCAATTTGTTCCGTTCCCAGCGCAACGAGTTTCGCCTGAGGCGGCCAGCTCCTCCAGGGCCATTGGCAGCCACTTTCCAGTTTGGTCGCAAGGGGTTTTGCCCCAGATCAGCGGCTTCCTGTTCATTGGTACCTCGTTGAAAAGGGCAAGACTCGGACGCGTAGGCAACGAGTGCATGGTTCCCGCAAGTTGACCGACAGACACGAAGTGCAACCGAGGCATATTGGTTGGCCCATACTGCGCGAATTTGGTCTCAGAAATGCACATTACAATCATCGGTGGCATCATCAACAAGATCTCCCTTGCGTTCATTGCAGGCGTGTGGCCCAACATGTGATCTTTCAGAGTTTGGAAGCCACAATGTTGGCAAGAATCCTTGTTTTCCAGACATCTCAGCTATCAGCTGTTTGCACACATGCGGTCCATGTCAGTGCCTTACTTCAGTCTTAGCTGTCATTGGCGTTGGAAGGTGCAGCTGGTGCGGAGATTTTTGTGCCAGAGCTCCAGGGCCTATTGAAGCCCATGGCACTGCAGGCGAGTGAGCACAGCGTGGATCCATCTCTTTTGGTCTTTTGACCTGGTTTTCTCGTGGTTCTGTTGGTTTCTTTTGTTTTTTTGCTACTTTAGTTTCTTTTGGTTTGTTGTCGTTTCTTTTCGTTTTTGTTGGTTGCTTTTGGTTTCTTTTGTGTTTTTGTGTTGGCTCTTTTTGGATTCGTTTTTTCTTTCTTTTTTCCCTCTTTTTTGTTTTTTGGTTTCTTTTGTTGTTTCCTTTTGTTTCTTGTGGTTGTGGTTTCTTGTGGTTTCTTTTTTCTCTCTTCTTTTGGTTTTTTGTTGTTTCTTTTTTCTTTGCTTTTATTTTTGCAGTTTCTTTTGTGTTTTTGGTTTCTTATGTTTTTTGTTTTTTTGTTTTGTTTTTAATTTGACTTCTTTGGTTTATCGTGCTTTCTTTTGGTTTCTTGTGGTTTCTTTTTTTTGGTTTGCTGGTGTATATCTTGCCTTTGCTTGCCTTTGTGGTTTCTTTTGGTTTCTCCTATTTTTTTTCTCGGTTTCTTTTGGTTTCTTTGTGTTTCTTTTGCTTGTGCTTTCTTTCTTTTGGTTTCTTTTTTTGTTTCTTGTGGTTTCTTGTGGCGTCCTTAGTTTTCTTGTGGTTTCTTTGTTTTCTCCTTATTTTGTTCCTTCTTTTTTTCTGTTTCTTTCGCTCTCTTGCGGTTTCTTCTTGGGTTCCTTCGGTTTTTTGTTTTTGTGTGGTGTATTGTTGTTCTTTTGGTCTTGCGGTTTCTTTTGTTTTCTTGTGGTTTCTTTTGTTTTTTGGTTTGTTGTGGTTTCTTTTGTTTTGTTCTGGTTTCTTTTTGTTTCTTTTGCTCTTCGTTGATTTTCTTTGCTCTGTTTTGCTCTTCTTTGGTTCCTTTTGCTGTCTGTTGGTTTCTTTCAGTTTCGTTTGGCTTCTTTTGTTCGTTTTTGCCTGTTCTTGGTTTCTCTTGCGTTCTTTTGGTTTTTTGGTTTCTTTTGTGTTCTGTGTGGTTTCTGGTGGTTTCTTTTTTGTTAATTGTTTCTACTTCCTTTTGTTTTCTTTTTGGTTTGAAAT